CTTCAAATGGGTCATTTCAGCTTGTTTGTTAAAATTGTAAATTATAACACTGCATCAAAGCAGAACTTTTTTTTTTTTTTAGCAATGATTGCATTTTCCTTGGCCACTGAACTGCAAATGATTACTTTATTTTACTGGCTATTTCTGATTCCTTGTACCACAACACTGACCATTTCTCCCCTCTGAAAAATAAGTTGATTGACTACTTTTCAGTAGTATGGCGGGGCCAAGAAGTACACCCACATTTTGTGTCATATTTGATTTCATTATATGTAATTTAGTGCAATAAACATTATATTACACAAAATCAATGCAAGAATTTAAAACAACGCTTATTCAGGTACCAAATAGCCTTGCATCTGAATATTCTTACTTACTTGAATTTTTAAAAGCATTTTATGCTGTCTCCTACATCTAAGCCAGGCCTGAGAGCCCCAGGGCTACAGGGAGTGTGTCAGAAATGGTCCCCATCCTGAAGGACCTTACAGCAGGGCGGGGGAAAGGCCAGCAATGTATCACACTCCTGTAAACTGGGTAAGGAAGGACGGGTGCCTTAAAGCAGGGATGGAAGCAAATATTTATTAAGTACTACTATACTATCTAAGCATAGGGCTGACCATGATAGTACAGGCGAGGAAGGGTGAGCTGCCTGGCAAGGAATGTTTGGAAGGTCAGGGTGGGCTTCATGGAGGAGGCATCATTTGCTTTGGCCTTTAGGGTAGAGTGAATCTTCCAAAGCCAAATAAGTGAGAGGTGGGGAGAGAAGTGTGTCCCAGGCAGAGGGACAGTAGGGATAAAAGACAGGGAGATGTGTGGGGCATGATCTGGAAACTGCTAGAAAACAGTGTGACTGGAATGGGGGCTTTCTTGGGGTATAGGATGCTGGGGCTGAAAATGAAGGTTGGGTCCAAACTGCACAAAAAGGTTAGGGGGACTAATAGGGACGATGGAGTTTGCCTATTAGAGCTGAGCAGTGACAGTGGAGCCACCTGATGGACTCTCTGTCCTCATCCATAACGAGGAAGGAACACCTGTCCACGTCGGGGTGAGCATGACGTGAGAACTGGCAGGAGCTCTGTGCGGAGGCAGGATATGCCTCTCTCAAGACAGCAGCGGTGACTGGGAGGGGGTGATGGTGTCACTTGATGGGAGAAGCTGCAGTCCAGCTGCAGCATCAGGGCCCAGTGGCAAAGCCTGTTAGCTGCTCTGTGAAACGGTGGCGATGACACCTGCCTGTGCCTCCACGGAAGCACACGACTGGGGCGATGGTGGAGAGACCAACACATCCTGTTTCACCGCCCCACAGAGCGTGTGTGTGCATGCACACACATGCCCATGGGAGGCAGCGTGTGACTGTGAGTGCATGTGTGTGCATACTTGCACTTCATGCTCCGTGTGTCCTTGTGTACTTTGGTGTCTCAAAGTCCAGTTAAAAGTGAGATTATTATGACAACCAATACCTCGTTCACATCTCTGGATATTAGTTTCCTCCTCTGTTGATGAGGGATGAGTGAATGTTTGGTGTTAAGTCTGTTAAAACACAGGCAGCTCCTTAAGAAATTAAGCCTAATTTTAACACTATGCCCCAGGTGATGGGAAAACCCTTGGCTTGTTCTGAAAATGTGAGCCCCCTGGTCTCCTTGTGCCAGGTACCTGAGCGGGACCTGAGAGGACCGAGCGAGAGAACAGGGGGCAACGCTGAGAAGGGCTCTCCCCTCAAGGAGCTCACGCTCTAGCCTGGGGGCAGGGAGGGGTGGGAATAAAATCCGGACACGGTTGGGGGTTGGGGGCAAGCTGTTTGGGTGCCTGCGAAATGTGCCAGAGCTGTGTGTCTGCCCATTAAACCGGTTAGCTCCTCTGGGGCGGGAGCAGAATCCTCTCCCCACCAACTCAGCTGCGTGGTGTCTGTGCTCTATGAGATAGAGGCAGATGCCCACGGGCGTGGGCACACACTGGCAGGGGGGCGAGGCTTGGGGCAGCCAGAGCAAATGAGCAGCCAGAACATGAGATGAGAATTGGGGTCATGGCGCTGAAACTGTGCTAGCAGCGGGGGAGCACCTCAAATGATACAGTACATCGTTAACTCGTGGCCTGAACTTTGCATTGGACTTGGAGTCCTTCCAAAGTCCGGACACTCTCCATGGCTGCACTCATTTTTATGACCTATTTTCCATGTTGCACTTCATTCCCTCTTAGAGCACTTCCTCTTTCATCCCCCTTTCCACTGGGAACTTAATGCTCTCTCCTCTCCTTATCTTTCCCCTTCAAGCTTCAAATGAAGAAGGATGCTCTGTTTGCTCCCCCCTCTCTTCTTTATTCCAGGGCAGCTTTCCTCACCCACCCATCTCTGCCAAGCCTTTCTGAAGCCGTGTGTTCCTTCTCTGCTGTTTCTCTGCAAACCTGCCATCTGCCGGGCTCTCACTAACGCATCCCCTCGTACACTCAAGTTGGCCTCCGCCTTCCTAGATCTGAATGTATTTTTGGGTCACACCGTATTTAACATAATTTTGAATCCCCATCTTCTTTCCCCAAATCTACCAGGCTGTTGCTACTATAACTGCATTTCCCCTGGATTTCCAGTCTTGATCAATTTTTCTGCCAGTGAGCGGTGGATCGAACATAGCTTTTTCTCTGGTTGGGTTCTCTCCTTGCAGATCCTAAAGTTGGCTACGTAACTCGGGGATTGCTCATTTGATGCATGGTCTGCTGCTTTTAAAGCAACAGTACAAAGGTCTGAGAAGCTGCAATTCTCCAGAGCCCCAGCCCCACACAGGGCTCCCTGTCACGGATCCCACCTGTCTAGGTGGTCGGCACTGGTCGGCACAGCACTTACTCTTCTGACTGTCCTAAAATCCCAGCTTCAAGTCCCCTGCCAAGTTATGGTCTGGGCCCGGTCCCCAGGAGGGGACACTCTCCAGGTGCTGGAGGCAGGAGGTGGGCGACGCAGACTCAGATACTCTACAGAATCACTCAGGGAGGTGACACCAAAGGAGATTTAAGTCTCTACCTTCTGACTTGGAAAGGCAGGTAGGGTCAGGGGACCAAGCAAGCTGTTGAGTAATGTGTATGCAATGCTCTATTTCTATAAAAAGAGATAAACACACTCTCCAGTCCCTGACCACGTACTTGCATGCACAGGAATGAGGAGAAAGCTCATGTGACCAATTGTTAGACTCCAATGGGAAATACTGAAAAATAAGTTGGATGTGTCAAGGGTTGGGGAAGATGTGAGGAACCAGAACTCTGGCCCTCTGATGGTCAGAGTGGAATCAGGGCAGGCGCTCTGAAGAGGCAGGTGTGGGACTGGGTAAAAGTGTAAGTGCTGGTGTCCCCTGAACCACGGTGCATCCTTCAGGCGCCCACGGCCCGGCGCACAGAGGTGCAGAGGCCATGGCCAGCATCGGTGCTGTGTGCTGGAACCACCCAGACGCACAGCCTGGAGGCAATGGGGAGACGAGAAGAGAATCTGTGGGGTGGAATCTCTGAGGCAGCTAAAGAAAGGAACCCACCCACATGAGCAAAGAGGGTGGCCGCCAAACCATCCTGGAGGGGAAAGGGGAGTGAGACAGCATGCCGCCCTTCACGTCTGGAAATAGTGAGAGGGGCTGTGTCAGGAAGAATGGGCATGGCTGGGAAGTACATGGGGTGGGCCCTGGGGGCACCACAAGCAGGGAATGGGATGGCTCCATCCTGCGTGCTGGGCACCGAGGAGCACAGAGGGGCAGAGAGATGGGGAACTGGGCCAGGGCAGGCTCCTGGCTGGCCCTAGCCAGGACCCTTTTCCCGAGGGGCTGGTCCCAGGATGAGCTGAGCACGGGCACGGGGCTGCAGTCTGCGCCCCCAGGGAGGGCGTGGCAAGGCTGGCCTCAGCTGGAGCTTCTGTAGGCCCCAGGTTCCAGGTCCCACGAGAGACCTTTGGTCACACGGGTGGTGCTATCAATTGGCGCTGGCCATAGTGGCTGGTCATTAATTCAGTAATAGGTGTTAAATGCCTGCTGTGTGTCAGGATTAGTGGGGGGCACGTTTCCTGAAGGACAGTCCATGACTGCTGCCTGGTGGTTAGGTGCCCCACCTCATCGCAGCTGGTAAAGCCCTGAGTGGCCCGCAGGGTCACTTGATCACAGTCATAGGGCTCAGCCGACCTGCATGTGAGTACGTAGCGTGAGTGTGGTGCGGTCTCTGTGTGTTACAGGGTGCGTGTGGTGGGGTCATGTGCAGTACACTGTGTGTGGGCACAGGAGCCCTTCTCCGCAGTCCCGCTCAGCGCTCAGGGACGCATGGTGGTGGCCGCTCACACACAGCGGTGACGGCTCTGCACTCAGGCTGGAGCACTCGCTGGGCCCTCCTCCCTCTGCCCTCGGCGCAGCCACCGCTGGTGCCCAAGCAAAGCGGGACTTGGGGACACAAGCTGTTAGTTCACAAACTCGGTAAATAAATCCAGTAAAAAGGCTGAGGCAGCTGGAAATTTGTCAAACAAACTGAATTTCCTGGGGAGCACAGGAGATCGTGGGGACGGCCAAGTGCGGTGACTTGGAAGGAGCCGCGGGGGCCCCCACAGCCCCCTCCCGCAGGCAGCCCCCATCATCGGGGGTAAACTGGTTCCTCCACTTCCTCCTCATCGGAGGAGGCCCTTTTGTTTTTACTTTTATTTTTATTTGCCGAGCAGCTGAAACACTAATACCTAATGTCCAGTCTCAGCACTGAGAATGGCTGAGCGTCAGAGCCACAGCGCTGCACAGATTCACAAAACTCCCGGATGCCGAAACTCGGCCAGCACCGTGGCCCTCAGCCGCCCACGTGGGACCGGCTCTGACAGAGGAGCAGTGACAGGGACCGGGACCCTGGGGAGCTGCCCCGTGGGTCGTCATCGAGGGCCTTCTCGGCCTCAGATGGAGGTGAGGTCTGGCTGTTTATTCTGTGCATGAGACTGAACACGAGAAGAAGGAGGTGGCTGCACAGCTGTGCTTAAGGCCAGAGCCGCCACTGCCATGGCCGCTTACCTGAGACCCGAACACGCGCTGAGGCTGACCGTGGAACCAGGAGCTCCTTGCACGTGTCCGTGGTAGTAACAATGACCCTAAGGGGAGGAGAGAGTCGGGTCAGTCATATAGCTTCCGGTCCACTCACTGCAAACCACTGCCTCCAGTCATCTTCACTTGTGTTTAGCTGTAGAATTCCTGTTTGCACAAAGTATCGACCACAGTCTGAATATTTAATACTGAGCCAGATGGGACCCAGCCAGGGCCTACGGCAGGGTATCTGGTCTGCTCAGAGATTATCCATAGGGCCTTAAATGCCTCCTTGCCCCATCCTTGACTTGCTGACACCCTTCAGGGAAACTGGATGCAGGATGTTTTACAAAATCCAGCCGGAACAAATCACACTGACGCTGCCATTTTACCCTCCTGTAACCTGTCTTTTGTAATGAGAGGAGGAGCCGTATGGGGCATTCAGGCACACTGGGAACCGTAATAAAGTGAGAACTGTATCTATGGCTTATGAAAACAGAAGAGCCGATGAAAGGAAGGGGGTGAGGAAGGATGTGTGTGGGGGGACCCCACGCAATTGCCCAGTTGAGAGTTTGAAGTGTGTCTCAGCAGGAAAGAGAAACAGGAAGGGCTTTTAAGCTTAAGACAAAAACCCCTGTGTGACATGCTTGCAGTATTCCCTTTCCTTGATAATGCCGCTGCCGGCAAAGACACACCACAGCACGCACGCTTCCTTAGTGAAGACAGATCTCCGTCCTGAATCAAGGTTAATTTTATTGTTGAACAAAGGTTGTGTTGTAGCCCCAATTAAGTGGCTCTGACTGGCAAGAAATGCTAAGCCCACTCAGCACGCCTCAGTCAAGTCCTCTGCACGCCTGCTGTGTGCAGGGCCTGGCAGCAAAAGGCTGTGTCCCCTACAGAGAAAGAGAAGCGTTCACAGGGGCTTCAGCCTGTCCCCACTGGGCGTGGCAGCACACCGCGCCCTCACTCGTAACAACAGCAGCTCAGTTCTTCCTGGGTGGGGCTTGGCATCCAGTTATTCTCCCAACAGAGACGAAGTTCGTTGGCTTTGCTAAAGAAAGAAGACTGAATGGGAATGAGCGGAACAGCACAGGAAAGGGCTCAAGGTCATCTCCTTGTCACTGACTAGGGGACAGAGTTCTAGGATCAATGAAGGAGGGAGAGGGGAGTGTGGCAGGACATGTGTTATTTGGACTTTTTCTTACTGATTCTAGAAGTTCTTTATATATTGAGGATATTAATACTTTGCCTGTTATTATGTGAGGAATATCTTTCTACCTTATTTATGATGTCTTCTGTGGTACAGTTTCCAGTTCTTACAAAGTCAAATGCATCGACCTTTCTTCCTTTATGAATCTTGTGTACTGCTGAAGGTGGCTTTATTCAAGGTCATGCATATGACAGTCTTTATTTCCTTCTGTTTCTGTGGTCTTACAAGTAGCTCTTTAATCTATCTGGAATCTATTCTTTGGGTGCTGCCAGGTTGGATTCTAACTTTCCCCACAAACTAAAAGCCAGTTGTTCCCCACTGCCTTTTCTCCTTTTCTCACCGATTTGAAATGCAGCCTTGTCACATATGCAATGCCCACATGCGCATGTGGCTCCACTTTGGTATTCCTGGGTTGTTTCACTTTGAGGCAAGCCACCACTTGCCCATTCCAGTGCCAATACCACACCACTTAGGTCCTACTGTTCCACAACACATTTTGAGGTCAGACAGAGAAAGTTCTCCTTTTCGATTAAGATTAAATTCACATACCATAACATTCACCTTTTAAAAGCACACAGCTGGTATGTTCTAGTGTGTTCACAAGGTGGCGCAGCCATTGCTACCATCTAATTCCAGCACATTGTCATCCCTCCAGGTGGGAGAGGGGTGATCCACACAGAAGGAGAGTATGTGCGAAGACAGTGGGCAACGGGGAGGGATGGGTGGCGGTTTAGGGACAGGGGTTAGTTCTGCTTGGCTGGAAGATTCTAGTGCAGGGGTAAGGTACGCAGGGCACCCTTTCCTGTGTGTGGCAAGGATGTCCTCTTCATGGGACTTAGGAAAGAATGCATGTGGGGCTGTGGTAGGGAGGCCTGCCCAGCCTGCCGCATCAGGCATCTACCCAGGCCCTGGGGGACCCTGGGGCCAGCTTGCCTCTTTAACGTCCATGTGAGATAAGTTTGAAAGGCTCCACAGTCCCCTCTCTCTAGATAGCTCTAGTTTGGTTATTTAAGAGAGGCATGATAACAATTCTCTAAACATGGGGGGATTGTGTAACTGGACTGTAATGCCCTAGAGCACCAGAGGGGTCCTAGTGGGAGATTTCAGTCCTGGGCACCCACCAGGCATGTCAGAGCTGGGACCACTCAGGATGTGATATGATTATTTGGCCCTAGAACAACCAGAATCACTGGGTTTTGACCGTTAACCATCTTTGGGGGTTGTAAACATTACAGAATTTGTTTCATTTGAGAGGAATGTATTGAAATGTTGCTCTAGTCAGTTACATATTGGTTAAAAAATTAAAAAACAAATGGTGACAATAATCTTTATTATTGAAAATTTGAAATTTCAAACTCATTTATTCTCAGTCTCTATTTTCTTACTAGGTTATTTATTAAATGTACTTTCAAATTAAATACCCAGAAATACAAGCCCATTAAAGCCAGAGTTGAATTTGCAGTTCAACAACGAGGTTGAAGCATTGCTTATTAAAGAGGAGGGGGTGGATGTCAGCTCCCCTATACTGGTCCTCACCCACCCCACCTCTCCCCGTCGTTCCGGTGCCAGGAGCTTACTGCTTGGCTCTAAAACTGCTTTTGATTTACCTTCAAGCCCATTCCTCACTTCTGATCACTAAGTTAATCACTTCTTAGATTACTAAGCATAATTACTAGAACCCCACAGTCCGCATTCTCTAACACAAGTATAGTTTCATGAGGTTCTATTTTTTCAATATGATTTATTAAATGTTCAAGCAAATGTGATTTCAATTTTAGAACACAGTCATCATATAAATTCACAAAAGACATACGTGCCACAAGATGTGTCACGTACTTGGTTAGGGAGCTGGAGGGTGGGGAGTGGAACACATGTGCCACCCCCCCAACTCTGTGGGTAGCTGAGGCAGGGAAGCTGTGCAGGCGACATCACCACCTGGGGCCAGCAGTGCCCACTCAGAAACATCTCCAGGGGATTTGCTTCCAAATCCCAGGGCCAGTTACCTCCTGTGGACTGACGCCAGGAGGCAGGAATCCACCAAGTCTTACCGATTCACAAACACTTGGCCCGTTGGGCATGAACATGGCCACAGGCGACTCTCATGCCTAAGGAGGTCTTGTGCCCCAGGGCCTACCGGATCTATCGATCAGACAATTATCCAGGCATACTTTCCCAAACACAGCCCCTGCTTGATTGCCTCGAGAGTATCAAACTACATCTCTCTCCTTATCATGTTCATGTCTGTGAAAATGTTTGCTGAGCCAGCCGTCATCTTTGCCTAGTTCTGTGGATCCCATCCACTCCCCCTCTCCCCACAAAACACAACACAGAAAAGAGTTCCCCAAATGCATAACCACAAAATCACATCTTTTCCTTTACAAAACCTCTAACCATGTATTTTATATACTTACTACTTAACCTAATGCATTTTCCCACTCCAGTAAAATAAATGTTCCTTCTGTTTAATATTACCAATCAAATATACTGGTGGGTAAGAGGAAGACAGAGTAAGAGCGCTTGAGCTTGCAGGTAGTGACCCTCAGCTCCGTGCCCTACGGGAAGGAAAATCAGGCTTCTGTTATCCAGCTCTCCATGGACTAGAAAGAAAGGAATCTTACATGTGAAACTGCTAACAAAAAAGGCCTGACCTTGTGATCGGAAGCACGGACAGCAGACAAAGTCTGTTAGGCAATAGGCTGAGCAAAAATTATTTCCAACGTTTTCTCCTTGGGAACTTTACATACTTCCCCACTCCCACCCTCAACGTGCCAAACTCTCTTGATTTGAATCACACGGTGTTCTAGCTGGAAGGAAGCTTCAGGCCACTTGAGGCCAGCCTTCCCCTTCAGCTGCCCCTTCCCTGAACAGACGTGGAAACTGAGGCCCTGATGGGTTCAGTGAGTGCCCAGGGTCATGGACTTGGTCAGCGTTAGAGCAGGGACAAAAATCTAGGCCTCTCGGCTCCAGGCCAGACGGCTCCCCCCTGTCTTGCTGCTGTGAACACAGGCCCTCATGATCTCTCTCTCCTAAAACAAAAGCTGCCCCCAAGCCCAGCTCTGGACGCCTGCCTTCTGCAGCACCAGGGAGCCTAGTGATGATGCCATCAGGGAAGCCCAGGAAAGCAAAGGCAACTCCACACTCAGAAAGATCTGCAGATGGGGGGCGGGGAGGAAGGAGGGGAATGTGTAGGTGTGGGTGTGCAATCGTGCGCACGTGCACGTGTGTGTGTGTGAGTGGCCAGCCTGCATTTCGGCATGACGGTGGCCTAGCTTTTGCTCCCTGGTACCTACAGAACCTCAGGCCCCCACCAGCTGCCTGTTTGCCTGAGACAGAAACAAGGTGAGCATGCGTTCAGGCCAAGGAAAGCGTGACCCCGCAGCCTTCTGTGTTTCTACGATGGGCCCATGTTACTCTGGACTCCGACAGTGTGTGGGACAAGGTCACTGGGAAACCAGTCCCTGCACCCTCACTCCCAGAGCTGTCTCTGCTCCCTGTCCAGCAAGAACCATGTCTGCACGAAAGACTGGAAAGGACCAACCCCACGGGCCACTGACATCACTTTGCTGCGCTGGGATTCTGCCTTGGAGAGCACAGGCCTCAGAAACCCTGTTTCTATTCTTGGGGACCAATGGGCAAACTGGCCCTGGAAACAGCGTGTCTGCGGTTGTGAGTGGACCCGGTCAGTCCTGAGGAGGGAGTCTTGGTGTTTGAGAGGCAGAGCCTCAGCTTCTAATCTGTAAGATGGGATAGACACGTACTGCCTAGAGCTTTAGGGATCAAATAAACATTAGATGAGGAAGCAATTTCTAAAATATAAGGCATGGTAACAGCTAGAATATGAAGATAGGCATTTTAAAT